TTCAAACATGGCTGGATTTGAGGATAGGGCCTTGAAAGAGGTGACTAAGGTAAAACGAGGCCATGGGGGGGGGGGACCTCGTCCAATCCGATCAGTGCCCTTGTGTTCTTGCAAGAAGAGGACAGACATAAGGACACGCAGAGGGAGGCAAAAGAGGTGTGTGTGTGTGTGCACAGAGTAAAAGACCACACAAAGAGGTAGCAAGAGGAAGGTCACTTACAAGCAAGACAAGGAGAGAGGCCTCAGAGGAACCCAGCCCTGCCTGCACCCTGACCTTGGACTTCCAGCCTCCAGTCTCTCGTTTAAGCCACCCAGTCTGGTGTTTCGCTGTGGCAGCCCAAGCAGACTGATACAGCAGGGGAAAGCAGTTGCCAGCTATCACCTGATTTCAGGTAGCTGAGAATGGTTCCATGTGGGTCTAGCCAGACTACCGCCAGCGCTTACACCGGGAATTTCTGAAGAAGGAAAGACCTATGATCTCTGAGATGAAGGAGGACCTTTCCTTTCCGGACGCTCACAGACAGGCAGGCAGGCAGTGGCTGCGCCATGAGAGTCAGTGTGTGACTTGTCCCCAAAGGAAAGAACTCATCAGCAGAGAATAAACTTCAGAAATGATTTCAAGGGCTCAGGGGCTGCTGGCAGAGGGCACTGAGGAGAGTGGGCACTTCCAGAATGGCTCTTAAAAGCCTCTCTGAATGACCAGTGCTTCTCCCCCACAATAAACATGCCCCTCCTCTTTAAAGGTGTCTTCCCCTTTGCTCTAATGGTGGCCATACTTCTTTACTATTTTAAAAATCACCCCAGTCTGTGATGCTGAGGGGACCTCCTCTGTTATTCTCTTCAAAAGGGGAAGGAAGGAAGGGAGGGAACTGGTGTTTACTGAGCGCCAAGCACTTGACATCAAGAATGAGCACTTGCTAAGTGTTAGCCGTGATTGTTAACCAGCTAGAAACAGCACTCAGAGGTGATGCAGAGAACTGGGTGAAAATACAAAGCTTCTGTAGGTATATCCTGTGACTTCTGAAGACAGGAAAATTACATATTTTCTAATGAGTGCTTTTCCAGGCAGTTAACTTTTTAAAAGGAGTGTTAACCCCCTTTTTTATATATATAAAAGGGGGAATTCTAGCCCTGGCTGGCATTGCCCAGTGGATTGAGCATGGGCTGCGAACCAAAGTATCACAGGTTCGATTCCCAGTCAGGGCACATGCCTGGGTTGCAGGCCACGGCCCCCACAACCGCAACCACAACCGCACATTGATGTTTCTCTCTCTTTCTCTTTCTCTCTCTCTCTCTCTCTCTCTCTCTCTTTCTCCCTCCCTTCCCTCTCTAAAAATAAATAAATAAAATCTTAAAAAAAAATAAAAATAAAAAGGGAAATTCTCCAGCTTCGTCTTCCATTTTTACCTGGACAAAATTTTGATCAACAGACATTCTTCTAAGTACACATAACATTCTTGAATCTAAAGACCGGTTATTTTGCTTTAATAAAAACTTTTCCTTTCCTAAACTACTTAATTCTTAAAAACACATCTTAAAAAAGCAATGTACACATGCCTCCTTACTGAGCACCTTAAGATTCTAAAACACCAGGCTGCCCACGGACGTGGACAGGGTGAAACAAATTCACAAACTTGGAATATGCCTAAATATTTAAATATTTAGAAAGGAAGTACTGGAAAGGAGTTAGCTCATAAAAATAGTAATGAAGCTCCTTTCTTTTTTTTTTAATATTTTATTTATTTATTTTTTAGAGAGGGAAGGGAGAGAGAGAGAGAGAGAGAGAGAAACATCAATGTGCGGTTGCTGGGGGCCGTGGCCTGCAACCCAGGAATGTGGCCTGGCTGGGAATCGAACCTGGGACACTTTGGTTCCCAGCCCGTGCTCAATCCACTGAGCTACGCCAGCCAGGGCTAAAGCTCCTTTCATTTTACAAGTTAGATAATGATAAGTGTGTATGATCCAAGTTCCTGCAGTGACAATGACATCTGTGTACACAAAGAGGGCACAAGTTCCCAGCACATTTCACTGTCTTATCTCCAGATACAAATAAGGCACAGGGTCATCCCAGGATTTCAGAAGATTGTTCCACACCAACTATGATGGTGTCATGTGATGGTGACATTTTTCATGCATCTTAGAAACTTAAATAATGAATTTATATTAAATTATGGTATACTGATTAAAACAAAACAGTCATTCAATTCTATTAGGATGACGCTGTCTGCATGGGCATGGGACTAACCAAGAAACAACAGTGGCAGAGATGGACACGTGATAAATTCCAGCTACCTATGTGTCCCAAGCATAAATCCAAGTGCTGAGGACTTGGAATGCACAGTAACCAAGAAACACCAAGCCTCTGACGTCATGGAGCTTACACAGTCCTGAATCTTCTGACAGTTACTCAGTGGGCTGTAAGCAAGTAGACTTTTCCTTGTCCTCCCTTCTCTCCAGATGCCAAAGGTCAATATGATGTCTATTAACCACAAAGAACAAACAGCTCTCATTCCGCTGCTGAGAAAACGATTCATTGCCAATCCTATTCCTCCGCATCTAAGAGATTTTTTCCTTTGGTCTATTGGCTTTTGTCTAACAAGAGTTCATCCTAGCCCTGGTTGGTGTGGCTCAGTGGATTGAGTGTCAGCCTGCAAGCTGAAAGGTTGCTGGTTCAATTCCTAGTCAGGGCACATCCCTAGGCTGGGGGCCAGGTCCCCACTGGGGGCATGGGAGAGACAACCAATTGTTTCTCTTGCACACCAGTGTTTCTCTCCCTCTTTCCTTCCCTCCATTCCCCTTTGTAAAAACAAATAAATAAAATCTCTAAAAAGCAAAAAAGAGTTCATCTTGTAGCATTTTCTTTTGAAATACACTGAAGCTATTTTTAATGTTGCATGACAGCAAATGCTAAGTTAGCAAAAAGTTATTTTGCCTGCATATGACTTTAACATTATTAAAGCTTACAAAATAATACATAGCAGAGGAATATATATGTCTCTCAACAGATGCAAAAGAAAAGCATATTGAGACGCCAGTATATACCAACTGTATACACTGCGTATAACACCAAGAAAGTGCTAAGTGTTAGTAAGAATCTGGAGCGATGGGACATGCTTCTTTTTGGAGGGAATATACATGTTAAAATCACTTTGGAAAAGTGGTCATTTCTTATCAAATTAAACATATCTTACCATGCAGCTGAACAAGTGGTCATTTAGATATTCATCTAAATTTACACAATGGAAAAAAAAAACATGCCCATACAAAATCTATATAGAAATACTATTTGCAATAGTTTCCAACTGGAAATACCTAAAAGGCCCATGAAATGTGAATTTACAGGAACTGTGGGAAATCCACACTACAGAATACTACTCAGCAATAAAATGTAATGAAGCATCAATGTATGCAACAATACAAATTTCAAAAAAATTAGTTGAACAAAAGAAATCAAACTCAAAAAAGTACATATTGCATGAGTTCATTTACATAATATTTTAGAACTGGTAAAATTAATCCATAAGTATAGAAAGCCCATGAAAGGCATGGAAAGATGGGGGAATGGCATGTCCAAAAATAATAATAATAATAATAATACATAGCAGCCAAATGGTGGGTTTCATGTTGTGCTACCAGGCAGTCCTCTACTCATAGTCAACGGTTTCCTTTCATTGCACAATTAAGAGAGTTGCCCCATCCTAAACAATAAGACATGCCCTTCTGTCTCAGCAGACCACGCCTGGCTTTAGCCGTAAACCAAATGCTTCATCATCAGTACAATCTTGGCAAAGTAGAAACAGGCAGATTCCAAGAAGTGCTTTGGTTTTTTTCTCTCTGACTCAGCATTGAGGATTATTGTAAACGTCTGTCAGATTCAATTCTACAATATTTCCCCAAATTAAGGTGCAATTTAGTTACAGCTCTTCTTACTAACCTTTTTTATGTGCTGTAATTTGTTTTGCTAATGAAAAAGAACTCCTGTAGTTTTGAAATCTACACACAATATATACTGCTTGGTTAAATACCCCTGTCTAAGAATTCCTAGGTATCTTTGCACCATTCATATTACACATGTCCTCCAAATTCAGCTTCCTGGACCGAAAGACTATGATTGTAAATAAATCTTAAAATCGAAAGTGAAAACTCATGGAATGCCTTGACCTTTTGCCTGCTCTAAGAACTTTTACTTAGCACATAATTCATTATTAACTTGAACTTTTACTTAATTATATAATGGATTTCTCTCAGTTGTCAGAACTTACAGATTTACAAAGTTTCTTTGACTGTGATATAAGCCCACCAATCACAGCAAATTCTCTATTCCCACTGGGATGGACTTGCATGTTTTCATAGCAAAGTCCACTGTGTCATGTCATTAAAGCTCTCAGTTGATTTCAGTATCATTTATATTTGTTTTTTAGAACACGCAAAGAATTTTGAATCCCATTTATTGAAAAAAATGGCTATTTCCATATTTACCCTTGTGATTATCATTAAATACAACCATTATATTTACCTTTTTATTTGATGGACTTATTCCCAAATAGAAAAATTTTATAGTCACTAATGTTACTTTTTTTGTAAACATTACGTGTAACTGTATTTTGCATTTTTCAAAAGACCTCACATTCTAAGTCTTGGTGACAGAGAAAATTATTGACTTTGAAAGCCCTAGATATATTATCAATAAACTACTTTTGAATGATCCAAACATTTTTAATCAGATTTTTAAAATTTATGCCCACATCCTAATTTCTTTATTTATACATTCACTCATTCATTCCTTCAATACACATACACTGTGCACCTAAGCACCTGTGTCAGGCACCATGCCAAACGCTGAGCCTGCAGAGATGAATGAGATATGGTGTCTGTCCTCAAGGTTTGCTTTATTGATGTGGGAGGGTGATAAACACAGGTATTGTTTATGAGCAAGGTGGTAAAAACAGAGATCAATTTCACATATTTGGAATGGGAGAAAATGTATGAAGACCACAAACCTTTGGCTAGAAAAAGACGAATTCCTTTCTCCGTCTTTCAAGAAGAGGATCTGTGGAAGGTATTGTTCCTTCTCTTGCATAGGAAACTAGAGTGGGTGATGTTGAGATGATTCCCAGCTGGTACAGACATTGGGCTAGCAGGAGCTTCCTGGGAAAAGGAAGGACACAAAAAAGTTTAGTAAGACTGTTTGAGAAACACAGAGGAGAGTAAGGAAGCCCTCTAGAAAATCACAGCTGTGAAGAGAAAAAAAAAAGTTGACCCTATGGGTAGAAAACGAGGGCAAATCTGATAAAGTAAACTTATAGGTAACACCTGAAGAAGAAAAACAAAGAAGAAATTATCTAAATTCAGAAACCTATGTTTGAAGGAGACAGTTAGCTAGATCAATACCCTGGCCAATATGGGGATTTGACCCAAACAACTAATAGGTTTTCAGTGCCGTCGGGATGCAGACATATGGAGAAACTGCCCCATCAAAGAACAGATGAGCAGTCATCACAAGTATTCTCAGTGTATGATACAACTGGATGAATCTCAATGACAACACAAGTACAGGTTGCGAGGCCTCCTGGGAGGTGACAGGGGGACTTAGATAAGGCTGAGACATATAAACCCTCGTGGTATGTATCCAACAAATGCATGGCAGTGTCACTCTAGTCTAGTGATTCCAGCTCTAGCACCCAAAGAACCTTCCAATGGAACTTCCTTTTCACCACGTCCTTGGCCACTCCAACCACCCACATCCATTGGGTCAGGCCACACAGAATAACAGAGAATTTGGAATTCTCCACTACAGCAAACTCTGCTGAAGAAAGAGGCTCATATTGCCATTCCCTGGTTCTTGCCAAGTTTACATGACTCATATATTTACCTTGATTCAGATTCCCAGCCTGCCCTGATTTTAAATGTGTGTTTGCCATTTAGTCTATGTCTTGACTTCCTAAATTCCTGGTCTTAAAACATTGAATATTATTTCTGGATGATCCAAGAGTTGGGATCATATAACACCACTGGCTCTTTCAGAGTTGTCAGAGTGGTGCCATGAAAATCCTGGACCCCACGGCAACACAACCTGCGCAGAAGGCAAGCGCAGCTATTAAAAAAAGGTGCAGTCTCTAGACAGGGGACTACAGGCGTTAAGAGAGGTGAACCAGAGTGAGTGCAGACCAGGCTGGAGACTTCAGTTTTTGTGACCAGAGCTGTAAGAAGCCACCTAACTCAAGAGGGATGTGCTATGTCAAGGTGGCCCTCCCAGAAATAATGCATCCTACCCCAAGACTTAGAGATGGTTTGCTGATGAGATTAAGTAAGGTGCCTCACTGTATCACATCAGGAGGTGACTAATTTGATCCTGGAAATGTAATCCATGGAAACCATTTAGTGTATTTGTAGGTTCAACAGAGAAATAACGAAATGAAAGCTGAAAATAAAAGGATGCTTGTTCCCTTGGAAGCAATAAAAAGCAAAGAATAAGAAGTTAATAATACATGACCAACGCTGAAGAAGAAAGTGGGTCCTGATTAATGTAATATCCTGACCCACTGAACAAGAAGATCTCATTAGCTGAGAGATAATCATGAGGTTGCCGTAGCATTATTATTTTATTCAATGAATATCTACTTTGTGCCAGAGTACTGTGAAGTGTCTCTAGTTAGTTAAGTGGGAAAATAAACCAGAATCCTTACAATTGTGGAGCTTACAGTCTTTTAGGGAAGACAGATATGTAAGCAAATAGTTTCAATACTACGAGTTAAGTGCTTCAAAGTACCATGGAAACCTAGAGGAGGAAGTCTAGTATTCCTAGAAGGGTCAGGGAAAACTTCTCAGAGGACAGTGACTCTAGAAAATAACAATTCATCCATCCAGCTAGCCAGCCTTTCACCCCTCCATTCCTCACATATGTACTGAGTACCTCTGCCTATTCTGGATGTTGAGGATACAACTTTGAACAAGGCCAACAAGTCCGTACCTCAGTGAAATTTACATTCTGGTAGGGTGTGGATGATATTAGCAGTGGACACACAGATGGGCTCCTTAAGACCCTCTAATATTCGCCTTCTGGCCTCATCCCTCTCCCACATGTATTTTCCTACTGAGACAGGGTGCCCTGACTGCTCACAGTGGAACATTTTGCTCTTTGTGGTAAGTATAGCTCTCATCATGAAACTATTATTGGAGAAATTCCCAGAAACTCAGTTCTTCTTGCTGACACAGTAAAGAATTACAGATCAGAAAGCCCGTTAATATGCAAGCAAAGTGTGTTAGTACTAAGTTCTAATGGGAGAGCAAGAGCAAGGGTGGCAAGAGCAGGGTGGCCCGAGGCCAGGTAGCCAAAAAGGGGGTGGCCAGGGGCCCAGTGGACAGAGGCCCCCCCAACCAGAGGCCAGCTGGACAGGCTCCCTGCCCAAGCTCCCACAGTGTGGCGAAAGAGCCAAGAGAGCCCTTTGCTCTGAGGACTTATACGGTTTGTGGGATGAGGGTGAGGGAGCTACATATTGATGGACAGGTAAAGGCAGTGCCAGCTTTCCTGGGAAGACATGGCTACTCAAACACAGGTATGTCTGGGGGTCTGTTAGCCTGAATCCTTATCTTGCTCCAGACTCCATTTGTTCATTTTGCACTCGGGACAGGAGGCAGGCAATTAACCAAAATTGTTTTATGAGCTTTTCTTCAGGCACTGTGAACCTTCCCCTCCCACCTCCCTTCTTAGTCCTAGGATGCATCCACAGTCTCAAAGGTTTCCTTTTCCCAGCTAGTGGAGATGATATACACAGAGTTTCAAGGGTTCCCCCCTTCCGGTACTATCATAGATTTGCTTGTTGTTTGGAATGCCTGGCAACCTGATGGAACCAGGCTCAGGACTGCTGGGTCGATGAGTGAGACACGTCTTCCTTTGCTTCTAGCCTCCTGCATTCAGTTCTTTGTTAGAATGTCATGGTGAGGGCCCTGCCTTTATTTCCCTCTGGCCGCTCATTCCTAGCTGCTATGTAACAAAACGAAGATGCCAGCTGATTGCTTACCATCACAATGGAATAAGTCCAGAAGGGAATGATCAGATAAAATCAAGTTTCTGAAACTGCAACACTGAGAATCGATTTCACAGAGAAATAAAAGTGAGAAATGAGATGTCGAGACTGACATGAACAATCCTTACCTTACTTTCCCAATGGAGATCTTTCCTGCCAATGGAAAAAAATGAGTTCTCTTCCCCAGGAAGAGGTTGGTGGAAAATCAACAAGAGTTTCTCTGTGAATCCCAGGAAGAACTTCAATGCCCAGCAGCTAACAGAAGTGGTTCAAGGGACATACCCCATTTCGCAGTCTCCCAGGACACTACAGCCCCTTCAATGGTGCCTGCAGCAAGTGTTACACTGACTCGCAGCGCAGAGAGCTGCCAGACCCCAGAGACAGCCAGAGACTCTGCAGTACCCACTTCCTGAAAGAACACTCAATGCCTTCTCTCCAAGAAGGAAGTGAGGGACCCCAGGGCTCAGCGCCTCCCCTTCTGCACACAGTGGTCCCTCTGCAAAGAGACACATGACCTCTGCATCCTTCTAGGATTGGGGCCCCCTTCATGGCCTTTCCCTTGAAGGTGACAAGGGAAAATGTTTCTAGAGAAAGCAAACAAGCCCCCCCCCCACTCCCCCGGCTCAAACCAACATAAGTGAAAAAATCAAGCCACAGTGGTTTTAAGCCAGAATAGCCTTCAGAGACCTCAGGCTACTCCTATAGAAATGACCACAATTTCCTTACAGAAACAAGAGAAAGGAAGTTAGAGGCGTCTGCAAGGCACAGTTGGTATCATTTTGAAAACTCATAGTTCCTCTTTTAAATCCCTCAACCTACTAATTTTAAGTGTTATATACCAGCTTTTCCTGATCTTTATATCCTTCATTTCTTTTTTTAAATTTTATTTAATTATATTTAGAGAGAAGGGAAGGAAGGGAGAGAAACATCAATGTGTGAGAGATACATCGATTGGTTGCCTCCTGGCCCGCAACCCAGGCATGTGCCCTGACTGGGAATCAAACCAGCAACCCTTGGGTTCCCAGGCCCAGACTCAATCCACTGAGCCACACCAGCCAGGGCAATCTCCTTCATTTCTTTTTGAAGTTATTCAAGTAATACACATTTGTTGTCAAAGTATAAAACACAGATAAGCATAAAAAAGAAAATTAAAAATTCCCTATGATTCCAACACCCGAAGAAACCACTGCTGGCACCTTGGCCACCATCCTTCCAGCCTTGTTTCTGCGGTGAGGTGGCTGTTAGGATGAGCTCTCAACATCTGTTCCACCCCACACCACTGTGGGACATTCGTGCAGCTTGAAGGACATTAACCTGATCCCCAGCTCTGACATAGATCCTGATTTGGCAAAACAAAATTTCCATAATCTATGACCTTGACACTATGCTTACCTTAAGGACCAGCACCTAACCCAGACCTAACCCAAGCGATACAAAGCATTTGCCTCACTGCCAAAAAGAGGCACGTGATCAAGACGGTCCAATCAGAGGGAAGCCTAGGATTCCTGCCACGGCTGGGGGAGAGAGACCCCTTTCTGCGTGTGAACCAAACGGTCCTGGAAGTTGCTGGCAGCCACCTTGCCGCAACAAGACAAACCCCTTCGGGTGAACGCAGATGGTTCCAAGGGCCAAAAACGTACTTAAAAAATCAGTTGTTAAAGAACTTTCTGAGCTGCTAAATTAAATTGACACCAGAACCTGTCTGACTTCTGGAGTTTCTAGTTATACGAACCCCAAAAATTTGCTTGTTGAAGTCAGTATAAATTGAGTTTTTTGTTTCTTGTAACTAAATGGTTCCTAAATGACTTGTGGAGGTACTTTTATTTTTAAATGTACATATTATTCATAATTTCCTATTTAAAAATACATCATGGTCATCTTTCCTTCTTAAGATGCACTTTGACAAAATTATTAATTTCTTCAAAGTAGTCCACTATATGGACAGACTTTAAATTACTTATCCAAACCCCTATTGTGAAGAATGTCATTGTTTCTGGGTTTTTCTATATTATATAAACAATTCTGTGTCAAGTCTCCTAAATATTAGGGAACATACTTATCTCCTTAGGGTACATTTCTGATGTAAAGTTTCTGAGTCAGACTATGTGCTATTTAAAAGGGGTTTGATTCCTATTGACAAAACCCCTCCCAAAAGATTGTTTCAACTATATTCCTACCAACAGAGCACAAGAATGCCCCCCAAAACTTCCTCCCTCCTTATCCTCCCAGCCCAGAGCCCTCAACACATATGAAGTTTCAACACAAAATCTCTGTGATAAATGGCTCCCATCACTGTTTAATTCACATTTTAAAAAACCATATAGAGCGCTTGTAGTGTTTAATTTTTCATATATTTATTCACTTGCTGTATTGTTCCTTTTCTGAATTTCCAGGCACTTTTCCCATTTTAAATTGAAGCACTTGTTTATTTTTATATTTTAAAAGTAAAATATAGACTTAATTATCTTTTAATTAAAGAGAAATGCTTTTTAAAAAGAGTTACTATATGATCTAGCCATTTCATTTTAAGATATATGCCCAAGAGAATTGAAGACATACATCCACCCAAAAACTTGTGCAGAAATGTTCACAGCCACGTGATCCATAATAGTCAAATAGTGAAAACAACCCAAGTCTCCACCAACTGATGGCAGACAAACAAAATGGGGTATATTCATGCAACGGAGTATTATTCAGCCGTAAAAAGGAATGATATTTCCTACAACATGTCTGAGTCTTGGAAACACTATGCTGAATGAAAGAAGCCAGAAATAAAAGTCATATATTATATGATTCCATTTACATGAAGTGTCCAGATTGGTGGTAAATCTATAGTGGCTGCCAGGGTCTAGAGGAGAAGAGAATGGGAGTGGCTGTGAAATGGGTGTGAGCTTTCTCTTTTGGGTGATGAAAATGTTCTGAAATTGGATATTGGTGGTAGTTGCAAATGTGGGCATGTACGAAAAACAATTGAATTGTACACCTTAAAAAGGTAAATTTGTGATATGTGAATTATCTTCATTTTACTTTAAAGAAACAGATTGGGAAAAGAAAAAAAATTCTTGGAGACAACTGCACTTGAACAAAAATTTGTAAAAAATTAAAAAAGAAAACTTCTGCTCTTTAATGACATTACATTAAGAAAATGGAAAGACGAACCAGAGACTGGGACAAAACATAGATGTGATAAAAGAAAGGTAGCCAGAATGTAAACAAACTCTCAAAACACAATAAAGAAATGAACCATCCAATATTTAAAAAATCATAGAAGATTTGAACACTTTAACAAAAAAGAGAGAAGAAAGGCCAATAACACATGAAAAGATGCTCAACACCATTAGTCATTAGGAAAACAAGATTGAAGTACAATGAGCAAACCCTATACACCTGTCAAAATGTCTGAAATGGCAGAGGGAAAAATGACACCAGGTGCTAGCAAATATTTACGTAAATCACCTGCAACTGTCATGCACTGCTGGTAGCAATGTGATACGGTATCATCTATCAGTTTGGAACATCAGTTTGGCATTTTCTTTAAAAGTGTATACAGTTACCACATGACCCCACCATTTCACCTTTAGGTATTTACCCAAGAGAAATGAAAATATATATTCACACAAAAGCCTGTATGCAAATGATCACAGCAGCATTATGCATAATAGCCAAAAAGTGGAAACCATCCCAATGTTTTGTGAATGGAGAAACAAATCATGGTGTATTCATACCAAGAATACTATTCAGCAATAAAAAGGAATAGTTAACACTATAGTAATACTGACTGATACGCACAACATGGGTAAATCTCAAAAGCATTATGCCAAGTGAACGAAACCAGGCACAAAAAGATACCAAGTGAGTAATTCCATTTATATGATATTCTGGAAAAGCCAGAACTGTAGAGACAGAAGTCAGGTCAGTAGGGGAAGGAAAGACACAAAGGGGTGGAAGGGAACTTTTTTATGTTGATGAAATTGTTCTATATCTTGGTTGTGGTGGTGATTGTACAACTATAAACATCTATTAAAACTCGGAAGTATATGCTTCAAAGGGTAATTATTTACAGGATATAAATTATGTCTCAACAAACCCAATATTTTAAAAAATCAACTAATTTATCTATTGAATGTATTGGGGTGACATTGGTTAACAAAATTATATAGGTTTCAGGTGTATAATTCTACATCATCTGTATACTGTGCATTCACCGCCCCAAGTCGAGTCTCCTTCCACAGCTTTTTATTCCCCCTTTACCTTCTTCTACCACCCCTCACGCCCTTCCCTCTGGCAATTACCACACTGAAAATCAGCTATATTATTATTGAAACTTATTTTTGTAATTTGGGAAGAGTCCTACAAAACAGAAGGAAAGCCAGGAACATCTACTTCCTCAAAACTTACATTCACCATTTTCTAAAACACAATTAAATACCTATGAACATTCACACATCACCAGCTTGGTAAAAATTTTTAGCAACAGACTCTTTCCTTGTTGAGAAAGAAATTGGCTTTGCTACGGTTGCTGCTCCCTGTGCCTGCAGCCCAGTCACATTTGGGTTCATGCTGGCAACCTGGCTGTGAGGGCGGAAAGGATGTTTTAGGTGCTTCCCTTCTCAGAGGAAGTTGCCGTGAGCCATAGTGGAGAAAACCAGGAGAGATCAAATTAGAGCCAGCCCGCTCCCCTGAGAGGTGTGGTGGGTAGAATCTATGCTCTGCCCACACTCCTCCTGACATCTTCCCACTTCTCCCACTTGCGTGCCTTGCTCCCAGCAGGCAGCATCTGCTTCTCCTTGTTGGAGGGCCACCCTCAGGCTGCCAAAACTTGTACTTGGTAAACCAGGATGACCCTGGGAAGATTTCACTCCCCTGCGGGACAGTCCCTAACTGGTGACTGGCACATTAAGGACAGCTCCTTTGCCCCTGTTGAAGGCAACACCAATGTCTATTTTACACCAGTGCCTTTCACACTTGTATGCTCATAGGAATTGGCTGAGGATTGAGTCCAAATGCAGATTTGCTGCGGGAAGTCTCAGAGTCTCCAGCTGTAATAAGCTCCCGGGTGTGGCCCAGGCTGCCATTCATACACCCCACCTTAAGCAGCAGAGGTCTCTTTTCAAAGCTCCTTGCGGGATCTAGCCAAAGCCGGCAACAAAAAGGTGTCTACACTCTGTGGTCTACTAGAGCAAGAGTCAATACCCCAGGAACCAAATGTGGCGAGGGTAACATGGAGAAGATGGGGTCCCATAGGCAGGCTGTAGAAGTTCCGGAAGCACCCCAGATTTAGCAGTGATTCAGGTGGCATTCCCGTGATGAAGACGTATTTGTGGGCCGAAAGACCTAAGAAACCCCTGCCCCGGCACTGTGGAGAGAGAGGCAACACTC